GGAATTTCATTTTAAAATGTACAACTTATAATCCTATAGGGATTTTTATATGGATTTATCTGGTTTCTGTTTTATGTGTTTTTCCATATAGGTTTCCCTTTATGGTTGAATATGGAATTCCATTTTAAAATGTATATATATTTAAAGTTTAAATTTTAAACGAAAATTGCATATTAAACCATATAGATTCCCCTATATGGTTAAATCTGGATCTATAAGGTAATAATTTTTTCACACCCAAACTATATTGGGCCAGATAGAGCAATATGAACCTATATGGCAATCCATATAGAAATCACTTTTCTATATGGTTTTCCAGGTATGGAATTATATCTGGTTCAATAGTGCAATGCCTGTTTCAAATTCCTATATTGAACCAGATAGATTTTTATTTTGTGTTTCTATATGGAATTTTTAATAGGGAAGACCGCTGCACAATAGCCCGGTAACGGGAACGGGAATCCTAAAAGAGACTAAAAAACCACTGTTGATAGATAGGGTTCGCTGAGTCTCTCCCACCTTTACCATTTAGTTTCCCGTTCCCGTTGCCGGGTTGTTGTGCAGCGGGCTTAAGTATATGTTTCTTGGTATAGTAGGAATAACATACCAACACGTCGCGACGTGTATTTAGGGTATTTCTACTATACCGACGGTAACCGACCAAACTTTGAGTTACATATTATTATTATTATCTCTGAGTTCGTGTTTGCTACCACCAATTGTATTAGTGGATAGATACCCGAGTTCGAATCTTAGAGTAACTCTGTTTTAATTGTCTCTCGTAAAAAAATCTAGAACCTAAATCTCAACCCGTATTTTTGATGCTGATAACCCTTGATCCAAGAAGTGGCAGATGCCAACCCTAAAAACGACCGATGTGGCAGTTATATACCTATCCCATTCGATTCCATTACAGGTCGAGTTTTTTAACTTGAAACTTTAAAAATATCTGGCGAAATAAGCACTGTCGAAAAAACTATATAAACTAAATTTAATCATTCCGGGGGGATATATTAGTGCTAAAATTAGTAGTGTGCTTATTACGCGAGATATTTCCAATGTAAAAAACTGTGACTGAGTTTGATAAATAAATTGACTAAAAAAACTATTCCAATTTTATTTTGTTCTCCTTTCCGCAACCCACAAGGAAAAAAACACCCACACCCCCCATCCATTAACCACTGCTACCAACCAACTGTAGAGCACCACACGTCAAAATGAAAAGCTGCCGGCCCTGGGCACAAGTCCCCCCAATATAGAAAAAAAAATAATTAAAAAACAGTAACGGTAAAGAAAATATCGGTAAGTGTTTTATTTCGACAAAATTTAATGAATTTTGAATTATTTAATATGTAGCAAATTAAATCACGTTATATCACCTTCAAATCTGTTGAATTTTTATCAAGTAACCAGTCAAAGTTTAAGAATTACTTGCTTTGTGTTGGTAAATTGCGCGTGAAGGTATTGCTTCTAATTTATTCTTAATTTTTTACCATCATTGTATTCAATACTGTCATACTTTATGGCTGGAACAAATAATGGTAAGTAATTATTGTACTGTCACTACTCTCTAAAAATGAATTAATCAAAAATGACAAATTTAATAGTTATTAGTGGCTGCTTTTTCACTTGTACCATGGTAAACCATGGAACACCATGGTATCCCAAAATTCCCAATTCTTAAATAAAATTGTCCCCTGAATCCAAAAATACCGTCAAAAATTATGAAAGTGGATATAGTCAATTCCATATTAAATGGAAAATTGACTATATCTCAAAAACTGTTCTACTTTTTTAACTTTTGACGACATTTTCGGATTCAGGGGACAATTTTACCTAAGAACTGGCTGTTAAATTTTGGAATATCATGGTTAACAAGTGAAAAAGCAGCCACTTATAACATTTTTGAACATAGAATGTTCTGTGTTTTTGACTAATTTATTTTTAGAGAGTACGTTAATAAAGAAAGCGCTGTTGAAAACAATATGTTTGTGTTTTTTTCTTAGCATGGGGGTAGAATTTGTACCTTATAAAACAAAAAAATTTTTACTTAACATCCTGAGGTAGCCCACTCGTTTTTTAAATAAATATTTAATCAAATGGGGTAGTTCCAACGGGAAATTATTTTGTGCAAAATCGTGGAAAAAATGTAAAAATTGTAAAATGTGATTTTTTCACTCAACTTTCATTCTAAAACAAAAGAAAGTGCATTTAATTTTTTCCTTAAATTACAAAAACAATGGGAAAAAAACTTTTTCAACTTTTGACTTCCAATTGGCTTTTAAGGGGACACCCTACAGATTCTAGAACAAAAAAAAAACAATTTCCCGTTGGAACTACCCCATATGATTAAATATTTATTTTAAAAACGAGTGGGCCACCTCAAGATGTTGAATAATTCTTTTTTTATAAGGTAAAAATTCTACCCCCATGCTAAGAAAAAAAAACAAACATTTTGTTTTCAACCCACCCTAGGGTAATGTCCATTCATACTAGCTAGTATGAATGGACATTACTAATGTTACATTCTGTGTTTAAGTGTTTTTAACAACTTACTGTTCTGACTTTCAAATCAAGTGCTAGAAAAAAACTTAATTCAAAATTATTTTTTTTTAAATATAGAAAAATGCTGGAAGCCAAGATAAAATATTATTGTATTAAATACTGCCATACGTAAGAATTAATGTTCAGTAATAATTTTTGTAATTTACTCATTAAAACTTTAGATAAGAATTTTGCCGACACAAAGATATTTTTGCTATTAAAGTATTATATTGTGGATTTGTTTTTCTATCGGCGGTAAAAAGTAATTTTTATTAAAATTTTATTAATTATACCAATAAAATAAACATTAACTAAGAACTTAAACAAATAATTTCTGCACGTTAAATTGGCTCTCTAGCCCACTGTGCGGTGGTTTAAAAATCACAAAAATACTTGATTAAAATATAAATAATTATTTAAATTAATTTTTTTCTACCATAAATAATGTCACTTTAAGTTAAGTCTTTGTATAATTACAAGATTTGAAAAGCTGCAATAATAAATTACGCAAAGCCGTTTTGGCATTAAAATGGTAAACATCGCCCAATCTTGTGGCGATCAGGGTACAACCCTAAAATTTTAAATACATTTAATTTTATTAAATTCTGACAGGTTTTGAGGGTTCCTGTCCCAGTGTCAAAGAAAATGTTATCCAGAAATAAAACGTTTTTTGCCATTATAAAACAATCCTTTGATGACTAGCCGTCAATGGATTATTTAAGAAGTGTGCCGGGATGCATTTTTCCGTCTCCTCTAGGGCTAGCGCAACCGAGTGCGCTAATCGTGTAGGATACGGAAGCGAGACCTGCATCTCCGTTCCCTAAGTGGTTAACGCACCGCCTGTAATTAGGTATTATCACTAGAGGCTAAATGTAGCAAAGTATTCCTCAAGGTTATGACGATTAGCTGTCATTTTGGTTATGCAGGTACACTGCATTGTGCCATACCAAACTAAACCAAACTTAACAACCCAACCCAACCGACCCCGCCCCATTGGGCCCCTCCCGCCCCATTGTCACAATCCAGCCTGCCCTTAGATATATTATACCTCTATTGCTCAATGGGGCGGGGTCGGTTGGGTTGGGTTGTTAAGTTTGGGTTGGTTTGGTATGGCACAATGCAGTGTACCTGTATAACCAAGATGACAGCTATTCGTCATAACCTTGAGGAATTCTTTGCTACCTTTAGCCTCTAGTGTATTATCGCGCTATAACGTGCATACAATGATTCGCGCCTTTAAGACATACGTCAATCTGTTTGTTTGGTTATTATTATTATTATTTTATATGTACATACAAAGAAAGATCACCTAGAAAGCTCATTGCAGAGTGCTTATTCGTATGCGGTGCGTTAACCAATTAGGGAACGGAGATGCAGGTCTCGCTTCCGTATCCTACACGATTAGCGCACTCGGTTGCGCTAGCCCTATAGGAGACGGAAACAAAACATACATTATATTTCGGAATTATTTTTGATAAAAAGTATTTTAGTTTTTATTATTTTATCTAGACCTACATAAAATACCTCTATAAATATTATTATGTTTATTATTAATCTCTTAATATTATTAAATACTAAGGGGTCGGAAGCACCTTTGAATGGCGGGGCAAAGCCACCCTTAAACCAGCCCTGCAGTAGCGTGCGCGAATATATAACTATGCGCACTTGTTAGGAAAATACATAACTATATTAATCATAGTAAAATTTTCAGAAAAACTTCCTTATGCGTATTTACAAACATTCAAAAAAATATTAAACCTTGTGGATCACATTTTAACGCGAGTTACAAGAGCATGATTAGTGACCGTGGATAATAATAATTTATTTATTATGTTTTTATATATCGTCATATCCCTGCCAAAAGTCACTAACATTTTATTATTGAGTTTCAAGATAAAATAAATAAGCAAATAAATTTATCTATTATATCAGTTTATAAACTATAGTGATTTTTAACCATGCAAAAACGACCATTTCTAATATTCTAGGCATCTAGTGGTTTTTAAATATTAAAGATATGGTAAATTTGTATAGTTAAATACAATTTGTTAACATTTTTACAAAATGTCAGTTAGTGACTTTTGGCAGGAATATGACGATATCGATATGTTTTTTATTTTACATGGTATTTTTTTGTATATGAAAGGCATCATTAAAACCAAAGGAAGTTGGTATTTTTTTAAAATTTGATTTATGTGCACGTGACGCCCTTTATTTTGCCTACTGTCTGGATGTATCCATAGCATGCTAAGCTGGTTATATAACATATGTTTCCCGGTCAGTCCATTGCTGTTGACTAGTGTTACAGTAATCGATCCAGTCACGGCGTTCTCTATCTATTAGAGAACGCCGTGATCCAGTAGGTAGATTAAGGGACAAATATTTAATAAATGCTAAATAATTTTGAAACGTTGTAGGTATATATTTATATATATCTTTCTATTGCCATATTTTAGGGGAAGGCAGTGTATTTTTCCTGTATGTGCAAAGCGTTTTTTCCTGGTTGCCAACTGATTTCAGCTACTTTATAACAGTAAATACATTAATTCATTTATTTGGTAAGTGAACTGAACGTGGGTAGAATGACAAAAACTCATAAATTATTAACTTGCAGGAACGTTAGCGGCTGTATGGCTTTTTACCAAAGTATTTCAACTCGACGATCTAATAATTTTATTTCTGACTTTTATGGATAAAATCATTGCAAACTTTATTTTTGGATTTGCTAATACAGCAACATTGCTATACGTAGGTAAGTAAAAAAAATGTCTTTACAACTCGCAAAATATTAGGTATTTGCAGAAATCTAGCGCATAACTCATCTATACTGACCGGCAACAAAAATCGGTAACAAGAAAAAGGCCACCATTTAAATGCTGATTTCCTCTCAAACCACTCATCTGATTTTGATTTTTTTAACTGTAGGTTTTTTAAACGTTATCTGTTAATAACAAAGATACACAGCAAACAAAGATACACAGCAAACGCCTCGGATAAAGTGTTCATACTTCGACCATGTGTTAATAACTCTGCCGTGCTTAATGAAAACGCCGTAACCAACAATTTTGCGATTTTTGGTTTACGGCATTTTCTACTAGAACAATTCATCCTGCGTCTATCCCCGGTACTCAAAAAACCGTATAGATATACACTCAAAAAAATATTTAGTAAATTTACACATCTGATCGTTGGTTATTTTGATGCCACGTATTTAAATGTATATGTACAAACATACTGTAAAACTACATATAATGTGTAAAAATGCAAAGGTCATGTAAATCTAAAATTTAGGAAAATAATAGTACAAGTACATTAAAAATTGTAAAAGCACATAAATTTAAGGATTTATTACATAATAATATGAAAAACTACATATTAATTTAAAAAAATACATAAATTGATGCTATTTTACTTATGTACATGTTTTATATGGAACAACACATTTCTTAAGTAAAAAAACAGAAATAAATATGTGTTTGGATGTGTAAAATTTCGTAAATTTTTTTCAGTGTAGATACGGTTTTTTGAGTACCGGGGATAGACGCAGGATGAATTGTTATAGTAGAAAATGCCGTAAACCAAAAATCGCAAAATTGTTGGTTACGGCGTTTTCATTAAGCACGGCAGAACTATAGTATAGCATTAATATATTAATGCCCCAATACGACAAACATCCGTCACAGATGACGGTTTTTTTTATTTAACAACCTTTGACAACTTTTACTGTCCTATTCGAAAATAACTGACATTCGTTCCAGTGTGTCAAGAGAGATTATTAACGCAAATAAAAAAAACAAAATGCTCAGAAAATATAGGGCTACAGTAAAATTCTAATCGACACAAATTGCGTGGAAAAAATTGTTTCTTACCTTTGCACCCTGTATATGCTCAAACTAAAATCTAAATATAAATGTAAATATAAAAAAAAATATATTTAAAATTGAAAAGGCCTGTATATAGAAAACTTGAGTATGATAAAAATAAATACACTTCGCGTCAAATTTAACGCACCACTAAAAATTTGCCACAATTTCAAAGTTGATTTTCTCGCGAACCGTCAAACCGAATTAGGTGATTTTTTTATTAAATTGTAGGTTTATTCTTCGGTAATAATACGTTTATTGAAATATTTTTTCAAATTTACATTTTGAGTTTTGGTGTACGAGTGATAATACGTTTTTTCCCGGAAATTTGAAACGCCCTGTGGGTTGTACCAGCTTTAACAGCATATGACTCATGTAATTAAACTGTAGCGGCTACAGTGTAGCCCTATATTTACTTAACATTTTGTTTTTTGATTCACGTCGCTATCTATTTTTTAAAATGACGGCCTCGGTGGTGTAGTGGTCAGAGCTCCTGGGTACGAGCTGAGAGGTCGTGGGTTCGAGTCCCACTTAGGTATGGTTGTTTATTTGTGTTTGTCCATTGTGTATAGTCCGTTCCGTCCGGTCCGTTCCTACCCCTAACCCGCACAAGCCATTCAGTTGGCTTATGGGACATCTTAGTTTGGATGTAAGGGTGGAACTAAAAGAGCACTTTATAACTTTATAACTTTATAACTTTATAACATATACGGTTAAAGACTCCAGTTTAATGTAAAATAAAATATTTTCTTTTAAGTTGTCTGCATAAAGTTATTGTAATGGAGCGGCAAGTGAGAAATTTGAATCGTGATGAATGTGTAAGAATTATTACATTGGCCGAGCAAGGATTAAGCTACCGTGCCATATATATAGCTATAGCTCGGAGATTGGGAGTTAATCATACCTCAATATCCCGTATTATTCGACGTTTTGAAGAAACAAATGATCATAACAGACGTGATGGGCAGGGAAGGCATCGAATGACAACAGCCGTACATGATCGTTTCCTTTATTCGCATGCTTTGAGAGAACGATTTGTAACAGCAAGACTTAATTCTACAGTAGAATTTCTACTCATAATTTTTAAACAAGTGTGTCCACCGTAAGAAGAAGTCTTGCGGAAAGAATTTTAGCTTCAAAATTCCAGCAACAGGAGCGAAGTTAAATGCTAATCATCGTAGAGCAAGACTGCAATTTGCCAGACAACATGTTGGCTGGAATATTGAGGATTGGCAGCGTGTACTATTTACAGACGAGTCAAGGTTTTGTTTATTCAGCTCTGATAGGCGAGTAAGGGTTGTCCGTCATCCAAATGAGAGATTTTCACAGTGTAACATTAGTGAAACCACGCTATTAATTGGAGGTTTTGTAATGGTTTGTGGATGAATTCCTTGACAGCTCGCACAGAACTCTTCATTGTTCGTGGAGGTACCATGAATAGTGTACGATATATCAAGGACATTTTATCGGAGCATGTTGTCCCTTTCGCCCCGTACATCGGTAATAATTTTTTACTGTTGCAGGATAACGCAAGACCTCACACCGCCCATATAGTGCAAGAGTATTTACATCAGGTGGGTGTTGAAACTTTAGACTGGCCTGCAAATAGTCCGGATCTCAATCCCATTGAGCATTTTTGGGATAATATGGGTAGACGACTAAGAAATCATGATCCCTTGCCTGCCTCCCTTGATAACGTAAAAAAAATGCGAAATATGGAATGTCATTGATCAAGGCGAGATTAGACATCTGGTTTTGAGTAACAGCTGTCGATGTGAAGCCGTAATTAGAAGTAGAGGCGAAAATACGCGATATTGATATTTTTTAATGTTGGTTTTATTGATTTTGTTCATATTTTTATTGTTATTGTTACAATCGTTCTTTTTACATTTTTTTATTAAACTGGAGTTCTTTAATATTTAATTGTATATTTCTTTTAAAAATAAAAATAACGCGGTGAATTAAAAAACAAAATGTTAGGAGAAGATGTGGCTATAGTGTGATTATAAGAGACATTTGCTGTTGTAGCTGGTACAACCCACAGGGTGTTTCAAATTTACATGCAAATTTTTATTATTACTCTTGCACCCTGTGCTCAAAACGTAAATTTTGAAAAATATTTTAATAAAGGCGTCATAACCAAAGAATAAACCTACAACTTAAAACAAAAACTACCAAATTTGGTTTGACGGTTCGACGGACTTTAAAATTGTGGCAAATTTTTAGTGGTGCGTTAAATTTGACGCGAAGTGTATTTTGGTGATAAAAAATATTATGTTCCTTTCATCGCCCCAGAGGCAATATCAATATTCAAGGGAGGGTAGAAATATTTTTTTTTTACCAAAGATTGTTTTAGAGCCTACCTAACTATAATTTGGCACCCGGTCAATTTTAAAAATAGAAATATTTTTTGAATTACTATAGTATACATAATATATTATATCATATATTATATCATAGCCTCGTTATTAAAGAGTCAACCTAGAGTTATAAAAAAATCATCAAAATCAGATAAGCGGTTAGTGAGGAAATCTTTATAAAGATATATCCAAAGAGTTGGTTTTAAAACAGTGTATCTTCGTCATTAGCAGAAATAATAATGTTAAAAAAAGATAATGTCAAGAAAAGATAGGACTACAGTATGATTCCAATTAACATCCGCTGTTGTTATTTTTGCACCCTACATGTTCTCACAAATTTTGGGAAAATTACTTTTTATTACTTTTGCACCCTGTAGGTATATGCTTAAATTAAAATCTAAATACAATTTTTTTCCATACCATCGATACTGAAAAATTATTAACAAAATCATATTAGCCGTACGCGAGGAAATCAACATTAAATTTGTGGCCAATTTCTGATAGCTGTTTTTTTATGGTGAGTGTATATACTATATACTAGTATATAATATATAAATATCCTGTTTAAGCTTAAAATTATTCTTAAATCATTAACAAACAGACCCGTTACAGCTTAATTGTAACTCAGCGTAATTGTAACTCACACTGGTGAGTTCGTACGGACCATTACATATTTTTTATTATTGTTTTTTTGCTGTTATTTGATAAATGACTAGTCTAGACTAAACAATTATGGGAAATTTTTTTTGACTTCCAAACAGTGCATTGTACATTTTTAAGAATACAAATAAAATTAAATTAATTAAATTAAAAATTAATTATTTTTCAACCAATGTAAAGTATAGGACAAAATTAGCTTTAATTCGAGCGACTATCTTAAATTTTGAAAAAATATTTTTAAATAATTATTTTATATTTTTTTTACAAAGGTAGGTACTAAAATTCATTAACTTTTACATACTTACAATATGTTTCTCATATTTATAATTACAAGAAATTTTAAAAAATATTCTAAATAATAGCCTAAAGTAAGCAAATATCGTGAATAATTTGAGAGCAATGCCTTGTGTTCAACATTTATCTGTGCAATAAAAAAAGTATGTAATTGAAGCCTACAAAGCAGATCACAAAAAATTATTATTGAGTTTCAAAGCCAATTAAATTATTTATCACAAAAATTAGAATGTTGGTTAAGTGAAGTATGTATATATTTTTTTCAATAAAATAAAAATTTTGTGCCATCACCTTAAATTAAAAAAAAACAGAATTTTTTTGAAAATAGTTTTAGGAATATTTTTAGAGTATTTTAAAAAAATATTGGAAATCAAATATTTTGTCTGGATTAATTACCAATTACTGTTAAAATTATATTAAAAAAATATAAAATAAAATAAACCGAATCTTTGGGCTTTGCCGCATTCTTATTTATAAGTTTGTTTTATATATTTTTAGCTGCCTTTGTTAGCGTAATTACAGGAGTATCTTCTATAGCTATAAGGTCAATATCAACGAAAATAGTGGCTGAAACCGATATTGGTAAAGCTAACTCTTTGTTTGGCATAGTCGAAGCCGTAGCAGCTGCAGTAGCTACCACCATTTATAGTATTGGAATCTACACACCCACCATAGAAGTGTTTCCAGCAATGTTCTTTTTCTTCGGAGTACTCGTCTTTTTGTTATGCAGTGTTGTTATAATGTAAGTAAAAAACAATCTTTAATTATTTTTTTCTACACCCACCTTTAAAACGCCCATTATCGTACATGTTTCCATGACACTAAGTGACCTTTTAAATATACATTGACAAGTTGTGGCTTTACGGCTTATTAGTCACAGGCTGAAGTAAGCAACAGGTTTTTAGTCACGGGGTGAAGTTAGCTCAATACAAAAATACAAAAGCATTAAATAGTTTCTAAACGGCAATATTTAAAAAATTTATATGTACTGACCTTTTAATTTGGCCGCCAGTAAACTAGATAGAACTTAGTCGGGCTCACACTTCACTTGCTAATAAAACATTTTCTTCACTTGCACTGTGAAAAACTGTTCTTTAATCCATTTTCAAGGGAAAAATTTTGATTTATTATCTATGTTTATTAGGGTGCTTCAAAAAATAAAATTTATTTTTTTTTTCGCTCTTACCCTCTCAGATGTTTCTATTTAATATAAAAAAATCCTCACCAAATATGGGCGTCTCAGCTCAACTCTAAGAGGTCGCTGTTTTTATTTTAGTTTCCCATTTAATTAACATGGGAAAAAATAATTTTATGTTTGGAATTTTATACCTCTGTAACAAAGTAACTTATAGCAATGATCATTGCAGTTTATATAAAATGTAACGCTCTACAAAAAAGCTCTCTTATTATTTTTCGATTAATTGATTTATTCTAGAGTTATTCGAGGTTAAAGTTTGATAACATCATAGAGTTGAGCTGGAACGCCCATATTTGGTGAGGTTTTTTTATATTAAATAGAAACATTTGAGAAGGTAAGAGCGAAAAAAAAATTAAATTTTATTTTTTGAAGCACAGGTAGGTATTTCCTATTTATATTATTGGAGGTCAGGGGCCCATAGAGGGGTAGGAGGTAAGAGAGGCAATTTGCCATGGTCCTCGAGTGGGCTTATTTCAATATATAAAATATATTACACTTAAAGTGATTGAAATTTCATAAAATTCATAAAATTTCAGAAATTTTGTAAATTTTAATAAATATAAATGTCATGAAAATTTCAAGTGAAATTTCAAGTACAAGCAAAAAGTGAAATTTTCCCAACCCTAGTTGCAACGCGTGGCCACGCTTACACCGCACTAAAAAATAAATTGTTGTTTAACACAATAACGATCTCAAATTTTGTTTTTTACATTTTGCTTCTAAAAGGTAAAGTCTTGAAAGAAAATTCAGATAACGTGTGTAGAACAAAGTTGAATGTTCATTTAAGTAATTTTAAAAATGGCAACAATGCAACAATTCAAATTTGATTTTACTGCAAAGAACATTTATTTATTAACACGTTATTGAATTTTCAACATTAATTTCACAATTGAGAGTGAGAATAAATTGAAAATAATATGACAGATATTTCAAAAACTTGTTTTCTGGCTTTATCCACCAGAGCCCGTAGGGCTCGAGGGGATATTGCTTTTAGGTAAACTTGCTAAACAAGTTTAAGAAATATTCTGAAGAATTTTTTTCTAATTTATTGAACTCTCGAGTGGTATACTAAAGATTATTTTTTGACGTTTATTATAGGGTCAGAATTTCTGAATTAGGTCAAAATTAGTTTTTGATTGTAGATACATTTTTTCGATAGTATTTTACATCACTAACACAAATCCTAAAGGATTTTGTAAAAAAAAAAATTTTCAATTGACATATTCATGATATTAAAAGTAAAAGTTTTTAGTGATTAAAAAATAAAAAAAATCATTATGGCTAAACTAATTATCCGATTCCAACGAAATAACTAGCGTTGGAATCTTGTTTTGACAAAGATTCTTTGATATTTTTTTCAATTGTCCAATTTTCATTTAGGTCGATTTTTGTTTGTTTTTTTATAACAAATTCGGAAATAATTGGCTTCTGCGCCAGCTATCGACTCGAAAAAAAAACACATATACTCCAATCATTTTTCGAAATTATGCTGCTGAGAAAAAAAATGGCCCGCAGGTTGACAAGAAATTATTCGTCCTTTTGTGGCCGCGCGCGGTGTCAGCTCACGCTCCGTACCGCGTATGCTGTACTTGCTTGCGACGGGACGTCTTTCGGTGGTCTGGAATGGTACTTTTCTAATCAAAATTAATTTGTGACCTTAATAATTGACTTGGAGCCTTGTTTTTTTTGTATTTTATTTAGAAATAAATATGCTTTATACTGATATAAACAAAAATATTTTGCATTCATTATATTTTGTTTTATAAGGCGCCAAACTAAAAATTACATTTTTCTTGGTACTCACTTGGTACTTCTTGGTACTCACGTGGATTATCTGTCAAATTTTCTGCTCCTTGATTTAGTTTGTAACTTTCTTTTAAAAACTAAAGTAATATTTTAATATCGTAATAATTTTCTTAAATTGACTAAATCGAAATATTTAATTTATTCTATATTTAGTTCGGTCACACAAAATAAGTAATATCTAATAATAAAAAAGAAATGCTTATCGAGCAAATTTACAGAGACCCGTAAACTCACAAATTACGACGCCCCAACATTTTTTTGACTGGGCTAAGAATTTTTTTTTAAAAGTTTCGTTTAATTTCTGCACTACAGCCGAATACGAAACCGAGCAAAAAAAAATAAAATCTCGTCTCTCAAAAGCCATCCCGATTCAAAATACAAGAAATTATCATTCATTTCAACCAGCCGCAAAACCGAAACATGTTATTTGTAAGATTATTTCATCTATCGACGAAAGCAATTTGTACAAAATTGAAATGTAAAATATTATTCAGAAGTCAAATTAAATTATTATTTTCGTACTATTTTTTTTATTTTTAAAAATCATGGTTAATCATGGTTAAATCATGGATGTAATATTGATATACTGTCTTTTTAAAATCGAGAAAGTGTCACTTTTCCTGCTGTCCAGGCAGGCAATACTGTCACTTTTCCTGTCTAGATTTTAGATTAAAACAAAATTTTCTTTGCCGTTTAGGCGCTGTTACTTATAATATATTATATAAACAAAATAAAAATATTTTATAATTTAAACTTATGTAATGTATGACCGAGCTCCATATAGAAAAAAGAACACAAATACGTTTATTATAATACTATAGTAGGTAGGTACAGATTTTTGTTTACATCACGAAAAAAGCAGAATTTTTATTTTACCACAAAGTGTTGGGTATAAAAAAATGTTAATATTTAAGTTTGGCGCCATTTAAAACAAAATATAATGCACATAAAATGTTTTTGTTTTTATCACAATAAACACCATTTATTTCTTAATAAATCAACAACCAAAACAAGACTCTGAGATTATTAATACAGGCAAAATTTTTATTTTACCAAAAAGTGTACTTTAAAAATTTATTTCTTTAGTTTTGCGCTACACCTATAAAAATACTATGGACATAAAATATTTTTGGCTTCCACACAGCAAAGCCAATCAATTTCTTAATAAAACAAACAAAAACCACAAGGCTTTACATTTATTTATAAGGGCAGAATAATTTTTTAAAATTAGTAATCAGAAAATTTTATTTTTTTGTAAAACATAATACAATATAATGAGCGAAAATTATTTTTGTATATACCAATATAAAGCCTATTTAGCAAGCTCTAAGCCAATTATTACGGTCACAAATTAATTTTGATTAGAAAAGTAGGTACCATTCCAGACCACCGTAAGACGTCGCGTCACAAGCGCGTACAGCGCGCTGTACGCGCTTGTGACGCTGCAGCGTACACGGTTCGGAGCGTGAGCGGCCACCGCGGTGCACCCACAAAAGGACGAATAACGTTTTGTCAACCTGCGGGCCATTTTTTTTCTCAGCAGCATAATTTCGAGAAATGATTGGAGTATATGTGTTTTTTTTTTCGAGTCGATAGCTGGCGCAGAAGCCAATTATTTCCGAATTTGGTATAAAAAAAATCGACCTAAATGAAAATTGGACAATTGAAAAAAATAACAAAGAATCTATGTCAAAACAAGATTCCAACGCTAGTTATATCGTTGGAATCGGATAATTAGTTCAGCCATAATGATTTTTTTTATTATTTAATTATTAAAAACTTTGACTTTTATATCATGAATATGTCAATTGAAATTTTTTTTTACAAAATCCTTTAGGATTTGTGTTAGTGATGTAAAATACTATCAAAAAAATGTATCTACAAACAAAAACTAATTTTGACCTAATTCAGGTGGCCCGTTTGAGAAATTCTGACCCTATAGTATTTTGACAGATGTCAAATTATTTTGGCGAAAATAATGTTATTCCAACTATAATAATATTTTGATTGATTACATATATAGTAAATTATAGACCAGGCGGAGAAAGCATATATTATCCCATGCCGAGGCGATAGCGGAGGCAGTAGATTGTGCGCAATTAATAAGCTTTCGCGGTCTTGTTTTGTATACTATTTTCTTTTAATTAAAAGTTCAATGATAAAAAACAAAAACATAAATAAAATAAATACTTACATTAATATAAATAACATATCGTATCTGATTTAATTGGTGTTTAAAAGTGCACAAGGACCCACCAAAAAAGTTACAATTAGACATACCATTAATAACCCTTGCCACACGACATATAGGCGAATTGCTTGCGCACACACTTCGAAACAATGGTACTTGTAATAAGGGATGATTTCTTAAGTCCACAAGGAGCATGGAGAAAAAAACAACACAATATTTCATGCATCAATATTCTTTCATCTCTGTATAAGTGTTTTAGGCCCCAAATACTGTCTTATTTGATCAGTGTTTACTTGAAGAGACAACTTATAACGCATATGACAGATAAACCTATTCTGAATGCTTTCCAACCTATTTATGTGAACATTATAAACTGGAGACCATATCGTGGATGCATATTCAAGTTTAGAACGTTCCAAGGATGCATACAGAATCAACAATGACCTACATTCCCTAAAATCAACAGTAGTACGCAGTATGAAAATCAACATAGTGTTTGCTTCCATAACCATTTTATCAAAATGGTTGTGAAATTGTAGTTTGCTGT